ATGATATTACTTGAGTCATCATATTGGTCTGGTGTAGTATTATCATTTACCTTGTTATTATCGTACGGCCCCCAGATTAAATTATTCATTTCAATATTTTCTACGAAAGCCGGTTGTTCGCCTATGTTTATAATATTTGCTACCGTGTGTTGCCCTTTGATTGGACTTACGCTATTTGCGATAATTACATCGTCGCTTAACTCTATTTTTTCAATGTAAATGTTATCAGCCTGAATTGGCTTTTCTACTTTAATACATACTAGGCAGTTAGAGCGCTGTGGAATAATTAAATGTGACGAGTTAAGTTCTTCTGTACCCGTAGGAATAATTAATAAGTCGCGATTTAGATCAATAATGGCTTTGTTTTTTTTTAAAAATGAATTACCCAGAATGCCATCTTGTCTTATTTTAAAATCGTTATCTACTACATTGAACTTTATTTTTAAGGTACTGTTATTAATCAGAATGTCTAAAATTGTTGTTCCGATTGTGCTTACGCGCGTTGCCGATATTCCCTGTAGTTGCCGTTTTTCATCTTCGTTTATGATAAGATCGTCTTTTAGCGAGTCTATTTTAATAATGTTCATTTGCGCGCCACTATCTATCAAAAATTTAGCTGATGCATTAATAAAAGAATTAGATTTACATATTATATGTTCGTCTATTATTTCTGTAACTACTCGCACGTTATTTTTAATTTCCTGTACTGATCGGTTTGAGCCCGAGGTGCCTTCGTCACCATTATCGTTCGAATTATCATTTTTCTTTTTTCGTTAAAAATGCGTTTCCTGCAGAATTTAATTTCGTGGTTAGGCTTCTTACAATAAGCACACGTTTTAATGTTATCTTTATTTTCCCGTTTAATATTTGTACTCCTATTATATGCTGGGTTAGTAAATTTTGGTAAGTTCTCTTCTTTTGTCCTACATTCTCCTTGGACGTGACCTTCACGGTTGCATCGATAGCAGCGGATATTCTTTTTATCCCTATCATTATCTTTAGAATTTTTTGTATACTTATTATTGTTATTTTTATATTTATTTGCGCCGTTATTGTAAAAATTGCGCGGCTCAACACTTTTTTCTTCTTCTACAGCAATGGAAATGGCTCCTTCCAGAGTTGTAGGATTACGCGCTTTTAAAATAATTCTTAAATTTGAATTTATGCCATTTATAAAAACTGAAAGCGCATGAGATTTTATTGTTTCTGCTATCGCGTTTCTTTCTATGCTCGTTTTGTCTATAGTAGATGCTTGTATTAATTTTTGATATGTTTCCTCAACTCGAGAAAAATAAGTTTGCGCGCTTTCTTTATATCCTTGCCTTAATGAACTGAGTTGCGCTTGTAAGAATGTGATGGAATGAGTAGCGCCAAAATTTTCGCGCAATATTTTAAGAAGATCATTAATTGTTTTAACATCACGGTACCTAATAACTTCGAAAGCTCTACCTGATAATTGAGTTTTAATAACCTCAATAAGTTTTAATTTATATATCGGGTCTATATTATCCATGATAAATTTAAATCTAGATTCAAAACATGTTAATTCTGATTCTGACCCCCCAGAAAAATGTGGTACCATTTTAATGGCTGAATTTAAAGTTAGTAAAGCATCGTTAGCCATGTTGGTCTTGGTTCCTAGTATATTTTTTAACCTAATCACCAACTGGTCTGGGTCGTATTCAACTACCTTCCAACTATCACTATCGGACATAAGCTATATAAATCCAATGACTTACAATAATAAAGCGTTCGACATGATTTTTGTGGCTGGTATACACGACTTGACACTCTGGTTGTTGGTGGACAGCTTGGCTGTGTGGCTGGGCTGCTTGGCTGGGCTGCTTGGCTGGGCGGATTGGCTGCTTGGCTAGGCTGCTTGGCTGGGCGGCTCGGCTGGACAACGCTGTGTACCGGAACTTGAATGAAGTTTGATAGGTAGAAAAAAAAGAACCTCAAAATGGTCTTTTTGGATGGGCAGTGTAAGCTCCTGGACGATCCTGGATACTTACAGTGTAGCACGGCTTTCGAAAAGTCCTTGACTTTTCCTAACGAATATTTTTTTTTGACGTTCAAAAAAAAAATTCAAGCCGTTAACTTCTTCTGACACCAAATATGTAATGAACTGTAGAGTTCAATACAAACACTATCTTAACAGTATACGAAATATAGTAATTAAATGATTTAGACTTTAGTAAAACAAATAAACTGCCAAGATAGATTTGATTCAATTTAATATAACACTTTTATAAACAGTACTTGCACGGGTAAAACAAGTAAGAGCAATTGAATACATACTCGCTGTTTCATTGGGGTTTTATAGTACAAGAATGCAAGCTAGCATATCCTAATACTTGTGGTAAACAAGTATTAACAACGTCATTTACATAGAATTGAGTACAATGATAAAATGCTTAAATGCTAACTAAGTCTTACATCTTAATTAAAATCTACCCAAAACAACAGTAAGCAATAATGTTTTACACGTGCCATGGTCAATATTGTATCTCAAGGAGATCTGACCATTACACAAGATACATTTCTAGTGGAAAGAACCAAATAGAAAGTTAGCCCAACTAATGATTACAAGAACAAATGTGAATTAGTTATTTCAACTACATGTTTATTGTGATCCTTTAATAAACAGACTTTTAGTTGGACCTACTTTGTATTTTAGGAGGAATTACTTATTTACTTAAATTTACAGCTCTGAAAAGGTACATCTTGTGCCTAATATACTTTGATATTTGAACGGGTTGCTTTTTAAGAAACTTATTTATTAATGATACTCTGACTTGAGGATCTGTATAATAATATATTTAATATTTTAACTCGTTATGATCTAATATTATGAGAAATATTCAAAGATTGGACAAATATTTTGTACAACGCTAACCAAAATTGTTTTTAACTAGAGATATATTTTACCCGGTTATAGTGTTTTTTAGAAACATGAACGGTCTGTTACTATACAAATAACATTGCCATTTGCGACAAACTTTAATAAAACGTTTTCTATAAAGTTTAAATAATATTTGTAAAATATTTTCCTACTTAACATATGGGAGAATACAGGAACAAGATAAAATTCAAGCGAAAAGAACTAAATAAATAGTTGGCTCAACTAATGATGACAGGACCAAATGTGAATTAGTTTTTTTAAAAACAAATTTGTTGTGACCCTTTAATAAACGGACTTGAAGTTTGACCAACTTAGTATTTTAGGAGAAGTAACTTATTTATTTAAATTTACAGCTCTGAAAAGGTACATCTTGTACTTCATATACTTTGATATTTGAATGGGTTTCTTTTTATGAAACTTATTCATTAATGACACTCTGACTTGAGGATCTGTATAATAATATATTTAATATTTTGACTCATTACGATCTAATAATATGAGAAATATTCAAAGATTGGACAAATTTTTTTTACAACGCTAACCAAAATTGTTTTTTAATAGAGATATATTTTACCCGGCTGTAGTGTTTTTTAGAAACATGAATGGTCTGTCATTATACAAATAACATTGCCATTTGCGACATACTTTAATAAAACGTTTTCTATGAAGTTTGAATAATATTTGTAAAATATTTTCCTACTTAACATATGGGATAATACAGGGACAAGATACAATTCTAGCGGAAAGAACTAAATAAAAATAATTGGCCCAACTAATGATTACAGTACCAAATGTGAATTAGTTATATCTGCTAAAAATTTAATGTGACCCTTTAATAAACCGACTTTGAGTTGGACCTACTTAGTATTTTGGGAGGAGTTACTTATTTATTTAAATTTACAGCTCTCAAAAGGTACATCTTGTACTTTATATACTTTTAAATTTGTACGAGTTTCTTTTTAAGAAACTTATTCAAAAACGATACTCTGACTTGAGGCAATGTATAATTATATATTTAACATTTTGACTTATTACAATCTTATAATAAGGGAAATATTTCAAAGGTTGGACAAATATTTTGTACAACGCTAACCAAAATTATTTTTTACTTAAGATATATTTTACCCGGCGCTATAGTGTTTTTTAGCAATATGAACGGTTGTTTATTATACATATAACATTGCCATTTTCGTCATACTTTAATAAAACGTTTTCTATGGAGTTTGAATAATATTTGTTAAATATTTTCCTACTTATTTAGCAGCTGTTACGGTTTATTTAACATTTTGAACACGTATTTATACATTTTCAAACACGTATGAAAACCTCTTTAATAGATTTGACAATTTTAATAGGAAACGTTCAGCGTTAATGTATGTACCTTTTTCATTGATATCACACTAAAATATTATAGTTTTCGCTAACTATGTTGCATTCCAACATATCATTGTGTATTATTATTGCTGTGCTTACAAACGCGGTTATAGGGCCACGAAACTTTAATAGAGAAGACACGGAGGTGGTCTTAGCCGAGCTGAACGAGATTAAACAACTCGATATGGGTTTCGTAAAAGATTTCGTCATGCATGAAAGACGGGTAAGGAATGGTAGAGTGTACGAAAGGATGATAGATTACTCGACAAATCATATTAAGCATATTTACCAGCAGCTCGAGTGCAGTTATGCATTGTTTGCGATGCGTTACATGCGATTAATCAAAGCAATCTTGGCGGACCCCATGGATTTGGTGAAAGAAGACGTTTTGGAAAAGGTTTTGTTCGACGACGAAGCTGCGGCAATGTTGGCCACCTCTATAGATATGCCAAAAATAAATGCCGTTAAGAACACCATGTGGGCGTTCTGGTTGTTTGCGGACAGACTGCACAGGTTCTTAGATGAAACCAAAAAAATTGGAACTGTCGACAAGAAAAACCATTCGGCCATCTTAGCCGCTCACCGGACCGTTAGCGATGTGCTAGATCGGTTTTTGAATAGGGATCAGTGCGTTTTCCACGAAGCTGAAATTAAATCAAATGAGTTGGCCCAACTAATCGCTGAACTAAATGTGCCGAACAAATCAAAACAGTTCGTATGGTACCTTTTGAATAATAAGCACGTGTTTGATAGACAAAAGTCGGCCAACGCTCTTTTTGGGGTAAATACGTTCCGCCAACAACGAATTTCCATGACAACGTTAAACCTAGACGGCTTACTTGGGATCCAAACATTTGTGGTGCGCAGCAAGGGCGCTGAATTTTGGCAAGCCATAGAAAGCAAGATAAGTGATGTATACAACACTGCTATGGAATTGGGCACGACACTAACCCAACAGACCGAGTCAGTATGCATTTTTCAAAAAGAGTTAACCGATATCGCTAAAAAAGTTTCGCTTGGCGTTGACATCAAAATCTTCGAGTCATTTAAGGAATACACGTCTTCCGAAGAATGTCAACGCGTCGCTGAACTTGATAATATACAAAATGTCTAAACAATTATTATTATAAATGAAATACTTGTGAAGTCAATAAAGTGCTAATAACCTATAGTCTTACGGGTGTATGTGATTTTTGTTCTACAATTGTATATGTTAATACTATGTTTAGAGTTCAACCATCAGTGTAGAATAATGACATGTAGTTAAATAATAATATGTCTTGAGACAAGACTTTTGAAAAATTAGAAAACTTGATAGGTATAAGGATTTTATTTTCAGAAGTATACGAGCATACACTTGTGCCGAGGTTAAAAATAAAATTGGGACGAGTACAATGGTAAGATGTTAATTGATTATAGTATATTTATTTCTTATTAGGACAAGCTGAACCCACACATATTTAAAGCACACAAAGCAGCTTCAGGTTTTTAAGCGTAACCGGAATATTAAAAGGCGCTGTCTCGCAAATCTTTTATCAATGTAAATCTAATAAGGCTTCTTAGCACTGTCCAGTTTCAGATATGGGACATTTTTTATTCAATGCATCAAATACATATATTATTCTATAAAAAACTCGAGACACTTATGGTTATAATTATATAAAATATACTTAATAATATAATATAATAGATAAATTAGTTTACATCAATATTTTTAATTTAACCATGAATGTTAAAACGGCCCGTTACACGAATTTTTACAACTGAAAATGATTCTTATTATCGTGTCCGGCGCTGGGCTTTATTGATATTAATAAAAGATGACATACATTAGTAAAGGAAAACACAAAAAAAAAAAAAAAAATACAAATGTGTTTAGAAAAAGAAAAAAGAATTAGTTATTTCTACTACAAATGTATTGTGACCTTTTTATAAACAGACTTTTAGTTGGTCCTACTTAGTAGTTTAGGAGGAGTTACTTTTTTACTTAAACTTATTGCTCTCACGAGGTACATCTTGTGCCTAAAGAATTTTGTTTTTTACAATCTAATAATATGGGAAATATTTCAAAGATTGGATAAATATTTTGTACAACGCTAACCAAAATTGTTTTTTACTAGAGATATATTTTACCCGTCTTAGGTGTTTTTTAGCAATATGAACGGTCGTTTATCTTACAAATAACATTGCCATTTGCGTCATACTTTAATAAAACTTTTTCCATGAATTTTGAATAATTTTTGTTAAATATTGTTGTTTACAACGCGACCGCGTTGCTCGTTGCCGTAACCGGTTTTCTCTCCCTCTGTTTCTCCGTCCAATGCGTCGCACACCAGTTAATCTTAATAATTCACTACACTGTACCTATTCTCTTTGCCTTCTAAAACATACTGTATTATCACCCATATTGTATCTTGTTTTTTTTTTGTATATATGTTCGTTCTGTTCTAGTCTTGTGTGTGCACGTTGTTACTACACACTCAAGAAAAATATAAATCGTTTTTGTTTTCATTTATATCAAATCTCTCTTTATTTTTCTTGCCGTTACGGCCGTTAAACTGTGCAGACAACGGCGTAAATATCTGTAACAGCACATTGTACACAAACGGTGTATTGTATTTGACCCCGTGACATTGCGTCCGGGTTAGCCCAAGTCTCAGTCGACAGTGCGTCGATCCCGGGACTCCAATTCGCCCCGTTCGAGTGAGTACCCTGATTGTTTGTAGCTAATCCTGGTGGCCGCCACTACGCCCGAGGTCCAGTTTGGTGCTGTAATCCCGCGTAGGTCCGCCAGCAACTGTGCGTTGTGTGAGAGGCCGCCTAGGTCGTCCAGTTCCCAGTCACCCGGCAGCGCAATCAGCAACAAGACCAGCAGCTCACCGTCCACAAAAAAAACTTAAGTTATCGTTAAGGTCCCTATTGTAGTTGTACCCTGTGGTCATTGCACCAAAACCGAACCGGCCACAGGGCCCCCTGGTCCCATAATTAACCTGTACGATCTTCTTTCCCAGTGTATAAATTCATTCCCGTTCCTTCACTTTCCTCTCTCTCTACCAAGCCGACATCGTGGTCGCAGCGCGGGCTCCGTCTCGAGCAGGACCAAGCACGTTAGGTTGCCTATCCATTTCCGAGTTAGGCGCATTGGGTGCGTGCCTGATTGGTTGCCGATTCATCGCACCATCAGGAACAAGGGTATTTTTTTTTGTCGAGTCGATCTCAACTCTTCCACATACCGTTTGTTTTCGCGACAATTGTCCTTCTTAAAATATGGGATTATATAGGGACAAGATAAATTTCTAGTGAAAAGAACTAAATAACAAATGTGAATTAGTTATATCTACTACAAATTTAATGTGACCCTTTAATAAACCGACTTTGAGTTGGACCTACTTAGTATTTTAGGAGGAGTTACTTATTTATTTAAATTTACAGCTCTGAAAAGGTACATCTTGTACCTGTACACTTTGTTTTTGATAAAAATGAAATTGTTTGAATTACTTGTTTTACTTTGATATTATGGATTTTTGACAACTTCAAAATCATTGAATTAAATCATTTTTGAAATATATTTTGGCGGCGTTTAGGCTAACGTACACCCGATTTTTTTGAGTACTAAATATTGGTATTAATATTTAAACAATCAAAAGATAACATTTTGGATACAATGTCATATCTCATTTTGAAAATAATAATGTGAAAAAAGTTATAGCTATTTTAAAAAAGTAAAAAATTGGTATTTACTAGTTTAATAATATGCTAAATACTATAGGTTTATCAAATAAAAGCATATGACATTCTCTACAATATATTGTCATGTTTCTTTTTTGTTAATGTAGTTTTGCTCTAAATCAACATGAAGCGAGTCCTGCTTAAGTATAATTTGTACTTATAAGACTATTGTATAATAGATTGACAGAGTGACAGGCTTCCCGGTGGAGGAACTTATACAGATTTAATTAAATATATTATTTACATTTTTTTTCTATTGAATTAACAGGTCACAAAACCACCCCTTCTTAATCTTTTTTGGGGTTCCGTTTTTTTAATAAATATTGTCACTCGATATTTTAGATGGACAAGATTCGAGCAATGCGCTCTTTTCAAATTCTGGTTTATCCAGGGATAGGGTATAGTGTAGCTGTAGGCTACTAGTGTCTATTGTAGACCTAACTATAAACAAACGAGAAGAATAACACATTGGGTATTGTATTAAGAAAACGGTGTATATATATTATATATATATATACTTAAAACATTAATCTAATCGATAATATTACAAAAGAGCTAAGACGAAATAAATAGACTTCTTTTTAGGTAAAAATAACGTTAAAAATTATTGGGTGGTAATGATTTAATATATTCTTTATTTTTTTCATTTTGGATAATCGCTTTTTATTTTTTGGAATACTTTCTATTTTAACATATATAAACTTAACTGATATATAACCTATGGTATACACTTTACACAAAAGTTGTGACAACATAAATGTACGAACTACGACTTGCAGCAAAGTACTGTAGCGTGTTTGTACTATTTCATGGGACTTATTGTACATATAAGTACAGAGTATATTTACATTCCCCCGGACTTTTGAGACAACTATTATTTATAAAACTAGAGACACAGATAAAAATGTCTATTATATATAATAGATAAATTAATAATACATTCATACTTTTTTGATCCATATATTTAAATCCATAAATTGATATTTTTTTAGATGGCTAACCAACAGTTCATCCTACTAAATGATCATAATTAAAAATGTTTAAATACTTTTCATTTTCATTATGTAGTATTAATTTAAAAAAATATAGCAAAATCTATAGTTTTAACTTTTTTAGGGTGGAGCGAATACTTATATTATACTTCTATAAATAATAAAATAATAAATTAAATGTTGATGTTGAATTTCAATATAAATTTAAAAATGCATTGTTCTTATTTTTGCTATTTTTATTTAGTGCTTCAGATATTATAATATTAATCATTTATTAAATGAAAATTATAGTATCAATAAAAATGATAATATTTTAATAATAATAATAATATTTTTTTTTTTATGTTTTAATAATGCCCAATGTCTAAAATCACACCATATTAAAAAAAAAAAAAATAAGTCAATATTCATAAGTGTCTAATTTAGTTCCATCCATAAAAAAATAGAAAATATTGCAAATCAAATATAACACAAAATACAAAAAATAAGTTTTTTAAATTTAAAAGAACGTTTAATTCGCGTGACGTCATTGGGCCGAGCTCAATATGTAAATAATGCTCAATAATCAGTATGAGCTCTATGTGTAAATGAAATATCAATAATGAAATGTACTTCTTTACTCGTGTAAGATAGGCAATTATGGCGAGCTCGGCCCAATGACGTCACACGGCTATTCTAAATATCCTAATATCTCCTTAAATAATCATTTTTTTTTTGCATCGGATTTGGAACAAATCATTTTTAATAGTTCTGACTACAATAATTTAACATTTAATTAAAATTTAAAACAATTGTTTTTTTGTGTTGTGTGCTTCTTTAAAGAAAGTGAAAAAGCGCCAATGTGATACACCCTGTAGATTCCGAATTTGTACGGTCCGTGCTAATACGGTCAGTGTCATTTAAGATTCCATAGAAGTACGGCCCGTGGTTTTACGGTTTGGTTTTTTCCGCGTTAGTACGGTCCGTAACAATACGGTTCGAGTGTTTATGGATTCCGTAAAAGTACGGTCCGCCACATTACTGTCCGTAGCATTATTTTTTCCGAATTCGTACGGTCCGTGACAATACCTCTTTTTTCCGTATTTGTACGGTCCGTGACAATACCTCTTTTTTCCGTATTTGTACGGTCCGTGACAATATTTTCTGTGACTTTACGGCCTCCCCACTCTCTTTGCAACGAAGTCGAAGTAGATATAACTAAGTTGACAGAAACCATAGATAAAATTAGACCAAAAATCATCGACCGCACCATGAAATCCAAACTTACTAAATTATCAAATCTCTTATTTCAAGCTGCTCCACGTTAAATAATTATACACACTTACTAAGAAATACATATAACCGATGAACATGAAACAACATCAGTCCCCGAAGAGCTAGCAGAAATAAATAG